AATTAAAAACTTGTGTTTTCTATCAAAATTAGATACTTCTTGCGTGAATTTTTTCCATCCTTTAAAAATATATTAAAATTTTATTAAAACATAAGAATTTTTTTAAATAATTTTATCCAATAACATAATTATGTAAAACATAAAATAAATCATGTATTAATTATGTCGCATATGATTACTTACCTTAGTAACCTTAGTAGCTATAGTTATATATTAATTTCACCATCTTTTGTGTGAACAACATCACACTGATTACTAAAGTGATGGCTTTTAAGTATTTGATGGATTTTGTTATTACCATTTCTCTGTTAAAATTCTTAATGATCATAAATAATATAAAAATATTTAAAACAATGTCCAATAGGAATAGATAAAACGCAGACATTAGCATTAATGGCTGAAATATATATGCATATAGTTGGCCAGGGTGTTCTGTTTAAAACCCCCCCTCCAGTTGGATATCTCGAAAACCAAAAGAGATATTTGACTTTTCAAAGTGGGCGCGATATAAAAATTTTTTGCCCCTAAGACATTCAGCATTCTGCTGAACAGTACCTAAGACGTTACAACAATTTTTACTGTGAAAGAAAACTGAAATTGTTCCATGAATTATAAATACACATATAAGTATCTAGATACCATCTTCTTAATATTTAGAACTGTTAAGTTGGACAAAAGACACTTAAAATTTCGAGCCCTGAGGATGGTGTAAAATAACACCGAAACATTAGCAATGATTTAAAATATAGTGTTCTTTTATTTATTGATCTTTATCCCACTAAAACCTTGACTTGGATAACTAATCAAGATCGCAAAACAGTGGAAACGTAAAAAATACATACCTGACACAGAAATTATTAAATAATGTAATCTTTTAGAAAAATATCTTGACGAAGACCGACATACAAAAATACCCACGATAGTTCTTTTCCACTTCTGCATTTTACTTAAGATTGTTTATTCAAGTGGTGTTCTTTCGACTAGAATTAATAAATATCAAGTTCTGCTTTTTGAAAAAAATGGCATTAAACTTGTCAAATTTGAGATAACATTATGCGATTTTTATTTTAGAGAAAAATGTAATGGGAAAATGATAGTTAGAATTAAAAATTAAGTCTAAGTTTAGATTTGCAACGCCCTTCTATTTTTTTTGTCTATTTAGGTTGACCTTAAAATTAAAAAATAAATAGTGGTAAAATATGGAAAACATGATAAACACCAATATTAAAAAAAATTAATAGTTTCAATAGGGTGACGAATTGAATTTGAGGCATTTTTTAATTGTAAGAAACATTTTTCTATTACATTACTCGACTACTACTGATCTTAAGTTTGATTACTTTAATACCTATTATTTTTAAATAGCAGAACTTTTTACAAAGAACACCTTTCTTTTTTAAGTCATGAAAATGTTCCTTTTTCATGTACTAAGACAATATTGATAAATTGTCACTGTCAGTGTCAGCGTTACTTATGTCATTTGATGGCTGGAACAAGTACTTTGAGTAAATAAAAATGCCAGTAAAATTGAGCACGTAAGATAAGATTGAAATAATTTTAATTGTTGGCGATAATTATAAAACGTTTCGGGAAGCTGCTGATAATTTTAATAACAGACAACCTGATAAAATTATACATTTCACAACAATGGGGAATATACTAACTAAATTCAAGACGTTTGGAAATGTAGACAATAGATATTCTCACATTTTCTGGCCCGCTATGTCACCAGATCTGACCCCTCTCGATTATTTTTTAAGGGGCTATTTAAAAGAGAAGGTCTGCAAGGCCTTTTCAAAATATTGACCATTTCGAGAGACACGGAGACAGGGACACAATTCAAGATACAATAACTCCTGTCATTATTAGAAATGTTTTAAAATAATTTTCCACAAGAACGGCCACTTGTATGGAAAGGGAAGGTGGATATGTTGAGGTTAATGTGCAGTAACGAAAAAATGCACTTAAATTATTTGCATGTAATGTTTACTATTGAAATCGTTTTGTGTTTTTGAAAAATAAATATTCATTTTATTATTAATTTATTACCTATTGAATGTAATTTGTTCCAGATAGTGAAGCTTGAAATATATCTTGTTTCAATGCTATCTCAAATGTGAAAAAGTTAATACTATTTTTTCAAACTAAAAGTTTTTATAAATAATATCTCTTTTCGTCAAATTGATAATAAAAAAGATACCTATTTATAGAGAACCTAAATGGACAAAAAAAATAGAAGGAAGTTACGAATCTAAACCTAGACTTATTTTTTAATTGTAAGTAACATTTTTCCATTATACTTTTCTCTAAAATAAAAATTAATTGTACTTCTTCTTTATCAAATTTTCTTTTATTTTTTGTCACCCTATATACACTACCTCAAAAGCAGAACTTCGTATAAAGAATACCTTTTTTTTCGTCAAATTGATAATAAAAAGTTACCCATTTGTGGAGAACTTAAAGGGACACACTGTATATTTAAAAAAGGTAATTTTAGTAAAACGGTCAAGTAGGTATTGGTTAGGTAAAAAAGCAATTCACATTAATCTAGTTATGTTGTCAATACATCCATTCGAAAGAACGCCATTTGAAAAAGCATTCCTATCTGAAATGCAAAAGTGATGGAATTTTAACTGCCGCGTCTATTTTTGCGTATGTCGTTAGAACAACAAAAATCTGAGATATTCTTTTGAAAAATTACATTATTTAATGGTTTCAGTATGTCATATCATATATATCATTTTTAGTATTATGTTTTAATTATCGATTAATCCATATTATCCATAGGGTAGTTGTTTCCCTAGTTAGCAACCTTGTCCGTGAGGTTTGATGTCTTTTGCATATCTAGATTTCTGATATCGGCGTTTGACTTCATTTGACAGGACTTTTAGAAAAAAAGTTTTTCGAATTAGCTCAATGCCATTAAAATAACGTAATAAAAGAGAGTTAATAACAAAACACGTATTTAAAAAATAATGTAATTTGTCTCGGAACTCAAGTAATTTATGTATACATTGTATGTATGTAGGTACTGCACAATATTGATACAGAACTTAGATATTTGTTTTAGTTTTCCAAATATCGAGCAGGGAATTTTAAACAGTGTAATTTTACACCCTGTGTTTTGTCCCGGAAAGCACATATTTTTTTATCTGAAAATTTATGAGAAAATTAAATTTTTCATAAAAACTTCCACTTGCTCTCAAACTTTTAATAACATCTATTATTTTCTTAATACTTACAGAATGTTTAATTACTCGAAATACAGTAATTAAATAACTTATTTAATTCAAGTTTGATTAGTCTCTTATTTGGCACACTCACTAAGTAGATGAAGCTCTATTGGACTAGTCAAAAGTTTCATTATGCGCCGCTAGAGGGCACTTTACCTAGAACTCAAAATTTGTTTTGTTCATAATTTTTTTCTCTTGCTAGACATCACAGAAATTTAACTATTTCTTGTAAAACCAGCGTCGTTAGTAAATAAAATATTATTAGTAAATTCATTATCCTCATCTCATTTCTCCACAACGCTGTTACAGCGCCGAAAAAAAATTATTATGGTGAAAAATCAAACATACCTGCTTTAAGCAATTTTTATTACACTTCGTAACACCAAAATTACTAATGATATTTATTTGAAGCATGGCAACTTGATTAATTACAGAAAGAATTATCAAAAATTTATTGTTTAATAACAAATTAATAGCGATTTCCTGCTAAACGGTTACATTTATCGACTTTTCTGATATTGTTTCTCTTTTTAATAATGGTCACATGTCTGTGATGTCTATAGCAAGAGAAAAAAAAAGTTATCAACAAAACAAATTTTGAGGTCTAGATAAAGTGTCTTCTAGCGATGCATAATGAAACTTTTCTCTGACTGGTAGTGGGTGTGCCAAATGAGGGACTAATCGAACTTGAATTAAATAAGTTATTTAAATAGAAAAATAAAAAAAATGAACTTTGACAAGCTATAACTTGTAAACAATTGACAATTCGAAAAATTTTTTCATTACATACTGCTATTATTTTAATCCATAGGATCACCCTCCGGAGTTTCCTGACGGATTTTCAGAACACCCTGTATTTAAAAATAACTGAAAATGAAGTAGATAGGATCGTAAATTAATTAAGGATTAAAAATCTTAAGAGGTGATAAATATGAAGTTTATATTTTTTAAATAGTTTTGTATTATGTCAGCAATTGATTAAAGAGTAATAATGCAGTTCTAGATGTTTCCCAAAATTAAGATAGATTACATTTGTTTATTTTAAAACTGACATACTGCAGAAAATATTTAATTTTTGATATAATGCTAATAATTTTGATCAACTTTCGTTTATTAATTGCTTAATAATTACCAAAATCATAAATGTCCATCGTGCATCTATATGTTGTGAAATGAGGTATTTTTCTCTTTTTTGCAAATTACAGAATTTTTCAATATTTCAGAAAATTGCAGCGCTTTCCTCTTAATTAGTTTTAAATGCTTCAGAAATTAAATATCCTGTACATAATATCAAGGTATCAAAGAAATATATTTTGAAGAGTTTGAGAGCAAACGGGAAAGTTAAAGTAAATAATGTCTTCTTGCAAATTTACAAATAAAGAAGGTTCTCCTTCTCGGGACACGATAAAATTTTTTGATTCTCTTAATTGCGTTTAATACTACTTGGTGTTAAGCCTTGTTTAAAATTCAACGATTAAACGAAAAACCACATAACTAGGGGTTTACGTCATGGCAAACCTGCCTACACGACATGTAACTCTCATAACACTGGAAAATATTAAAAACCTACAGCCTAAGAATGATAATTGACATTCACGATACATATACACCCTAAGAGAATCACTTTGAAACACATCACTGTTGCTGATACTGTCCCCGTGTTGAGAATTGGCACCAATATCTTCTTATTTTACCTACAAAATATTCGTAGTCTCTTACAGCGAGTCCGGTAATAGGGAAGTTGGTTCCCGGGAAACAACTAACTAGTCAGTCGTCTGCTTCCATTCCTATCAGTTCGGCCTGCAGTCTTCCCTTGTATCTACAACAAATTGTCATGCAGAATATTCTAAGGGCAAGTCGGAATTGAGGGCTGAGGGTGATCAGAATTATGGATTTCCAGAACGAGTTAAGGAAGCCAAGCCACACGATACCGAAATGAAGAAGCTGCATGTTGTTCAGTTTACCAGTGCGGTACTCGTACAGTTTCACAAAGATGTACGGTGTCCAAGATAGCCAGAAAGCGATGACTAAAGCGAAGGACATCATATGACTCGGATTAGACAGGCTCTCCGCTAGAGCGGTGGCATATTCCTTGTCGTGAAATGGAACACCGCTCCTCAATTTACTTTTCATTCTAAAGATGTAAGTGTAGGTGTACACTATGGTTATCAAACTAGGTCCTAGGATCAGAATGGCCAGTGTTACGGAGTAAGCAGCCATATTGCTCCATTTCAACATACATATGTAAGCCTCAGCGTCATAGTGAGGTTCATTCAGGCCTAAGAGTGGGGGCGAGCACAGCATAGCGGCGGATATCCAGGTAAAGGCCATCCAGCATTGGCATCTTGTTTTTGTTTGGAGAGTTTCGTAACGTAAGGGTTTCCGAACGGCAAGGTAACGGTCTACGCTAATCCACATGAAGGTATATACTGTTATTGCCCAAAGGGTAACTTCTAGGTAGCCCACGAGACGGCACATTATGTCATCGTATACCCATTTCTTCATTACGGCGGGCAGTATTGACAATGGCACCACGATAAGGCCACAGAGGAGGTCAGCCACGGCTAGGGAGAGTAGGTAGCAGTTGATCACCTCTGATGGTCCTGCAAATATAATTGATATATTAATGATTTAAAAATAACTTTAAACATTGCTGCAATGATATTTAAATTGAAACATAAAACAAATTTATCTTGTACACGCCCACCATATGGATTTCGGATAAGGTCAGAGGTACAAAGTTGATGAATGGTATTGATTTCCTTGTAACTTCCATAGATCACAAAATCAGTGGAAATTTATGAAAATATAATTTTTTTTCTGTTTTGAAAAATTTTGTAATCATCAACAGAACTTTGTAAATTTCTGATATTAGAAAATAAAAGATCTGAGTTAGAACTCAGACTCTGCAGAATCTTTATTTACTTTTTTTTACTTTGTTTATTGAAGCAGTTTTTATGAAAAATTAATAATTTGAAATTTTAAAATTTTATAACCACGCTATTTGGAAAAATTTTGCACTGAATTGTTCTGGATTCGGCATAAGTTCTGGATTTATCTTTATAGACAGGGCGTTCTAAAAAGTTTCACTCACTCAATATCGTAATCATACCTATCAACTTGAATAGGTCCTAAGATGGGCCTGGGAGAGCTGCATCAGTTGGGCCAACTCCGAATCTACTCGCTCGCAAAGTCTAGAGGGAAAGGTTCAAGCACCTTTTCTAATACATTATGCTTTAATTAAATCACGTTAACACTTTTCAGTTTAAAAATTTTAGGAGTTAGGAGCTAAAATAGTGGGGAAGAGATTATTTCGTGTATTTCATAAAAAAAGTTTTGGTGTATCAAGATGTTTTTGAGAATCAATAATAGTTTGAAAAATTATTGTTACCCCTACGCGGATTAAAAGTATACAGGGTGTCCCAGTACTTGATACAAAAAAGTCGAGTACGGATAAATGAGGTCAAAATAATATCAGTTCTTCATAATTTTTTTATATGAGCCTGCGTTAACAAGTTACGGGCCCTCAAAGGTAAATATTAAAAAGTTATTTTTATTTACAGTCTCTAAAGTATTAACTATTTTGTGTTATGTGTAAAGTGTATTAGTCAAATTTTGTTAGTGAAAATTACATTAGCAGACAGTAAGATTTTCTAGGCTCTTATTTTAAAAATGTGTACGGTTCTAACATAGTAATTATATCCAATTAAAAACTAAAAACAAAAAATGGTGGAGGCGCCGCTCGATGTGCACTGTGACATAAAATCACAAATTGTTAATTTTACCGAGTTGAACCAAGAGGGTATTATCGTTGGCAAATTCTTCAGGGAACTCATTTTTGGTACAGACAGATTGCGATCGTCATCTATGCAAAAATTCTGGGTTGTTAACCATTGGGCATAGTCCGTCCCTGGCGTTCTGGGGATAATGAAGAAAAATAACTTTTTAATTTTCACTTTTGAGGGCCCGTAACTTGTTAACGAAGGCCCATATGAAAAAAAAATTATATGAAGAACTGATATTATTTTGACCTCATCTATGTGTACTCGACTTTTTTGTATCTAGTACCGGGACACCCTGTATATAGCTTCCAGCATCAACTCTAACCATTAGAATTTTCATTGGCCAGAGTTTTCTTAAGGATGCCATTTTCAATTTCTATGTTTTGAGATAGTCCCCTTTCCTTTTTGATGAAACATAATATCATTTTGTACGTGTATTTGGAAAGTTTTATTTAAATTTGGACAAAAAAAATATTTTTATATTCAGTTGGTGTCGTTTAGTTATAAAATAAACACTCGGCAAAATGAATTGCTGTCACAGAATATAAATACAATATACTTCTTTTTTTTATTTCTATCAAATATTTTCTATATTTAATCCAAATTATTTGAAGGTCAATTACAATATATAAATAAAAACAATTACATACCTACTTAAAAAATGTACTGAAACAGCTACTAAGTACATCTATTAATAAAATGAGGCTATTCAAATATGCGAGACTAGGGATATTTACCAAAATAAAAAAATAAATAATAAAAGTCTGATTAAACGTCGCAAAATGATCAAAAATAGCTTTATAATAATAACTGCAAAGTTTTAGAAAAACAAAAAATTTGTTGTATGAGAGAAAGCAAAAAGAAAAATCAATATTCGTTTGAATACGCGAAACGCTCTCTGATTGGTGTGACGTCACAATGCGGAACAGGCTAGAGCGCGTGAATTAGTGGTTAGGTTAGCTTTTCATCTAATAATTTGCCAGGTTTACTTTTACTGACCTTTTGTCTTTGTACGTTTGTGTCCTTCGTAATATTCCTCGTTTTTGGCTTATTTAATTTTAATTAACGTTAAGGGAATATATTAAAAGAAGGTTTTCAAAAGGCAGGCTCTGAACTGTGGACGTTATATCAGAATTTTTGGACGTGCAAAATCTTGAATCAGACTGAGTGTAAAAGCGAAACTGTTTGTTGTTTTAAATAAATATGTAATACTCGTAAGAGTTATTTATATAAGGACAAAACTTTTAGTAGTTTGCTTTGTTACGATAGAAACAGGGACGCAAAAAAAGTTGTACAATCGGTGGCCGATTTTTATAAACGTGTTTAACAAATAGACAATCTCGCATTCGAGGGAGAAATTTTCCGATTTTTTTGCATATTCAGATTCGTCAGATGTTCCTTAACATGAATCAAGACGTTGCCGGCCGGAAATTTGGTGCCCATTTGTTTAAACAAACTTTTTTTAAACAAATTGTAAAAATTGTTTTTTTCACTCCGGAAATTTTTTAGGTTTTTTGGCACATTATAAACGAAAAAGTTCCTATGCACTGTGCCTCTAAAATTGATAGTTTTTAAGTTATAAACAATTTAAGTTGCTAAAAATGCGAAAATGACGATTTTCAACGGCCGATTTCCGGATTAAAAATTGTTGTTTTTGATGTTGTCAGGTACCTAAATTAAAGTATAGACATCCCCCTACAAGATACTGAAGACTTTTTGGAACTCGCATTATTCTAAAATCTTGTTTTTTAATTGTTAATAAAGCGCTATGAGCCGCCCGCGCGCCTCTCTCATACGCGGATTCNTTGCCAGGTACCTAAATTAAAGTTTAAACATCCCCCTACAAGATGCTGAAGAGTTTTTGGCACTCGCATTATTCTAAAGCCTTGTTTTTTAATTGTTAATAAAGCGCTACGAGCCGCGCGCGCGCCTCTCTCATACGCGGATTCGCTATTTCCTCTAGCGGCTTCAGCTTATGTTCTTTGAATGTAGCATTCTAAGTACTATTACTACTCATGAAATAATGTAAAAATTGATTATTTAAATTTCATAATTCATAATAATTTTATTAAATTAATTCAAAATTGTACGAATAGAGTGCAGAAAAAAAAATAAAAGGGCAATAGTATCAAATACATATGATTTTTATTAAAAAACATTTATTTAATACTGCATATTATTATTATCATCACACATTTATTCAATCATAAGAATTCTCACACTGTTCTAGGTTATAACCACATAAAGGTATACAAGTGACATAGTTTTTCCTACAAGAACAAGCTTTAGTCTTACAGTTTTTTGTACATTTACATTGTTTTACTAAGTCTTTGGGTAATGGATCTTTTGTAATAAATTTAGGTAATAATTCACCTGTTTCATTTTGATAACCAATAGCTTCAAATCCAAATATTGATACTGAGGAAAAATGGAACTTTTCTATATATGTACGTTTGTAAAGAAGCTCATAGCGCATTATTCACAATTAAAAAACAAGGCTTTAAAATAATGAGAGTCTCAAAAACTCTTCAGCATCTTGTAGGGGGATATTTAAACTTTAATTTAGGTACCTGGTAACTCAAAAATAACAATTTTCAACCCGGAAATCGGCCGTTGAAAATCGTCATTTTCGCATTTTTAGCAACTTAAATTGTTTATAACTTTAAAACTATCAATTTTAGAGGCATAGTGCATAGAAACTTTTTTGTTTATAATGTGCCAAAAAACCGGAGTAAAAAAAACAATTTTTACAATTGTTTAAAGAAAGTTTGTTTAAACAAATGGGCACCAGATTTCCGGCCGACATCATCTTGATTACGGGACATCTCACGAATCTGAATATGCAAAAAAATCGAGTCGGAAAATTTCCCCCACGAATGCAAGGTTTTCGCCTTGTCTAAAATATTTTAAAATATAGTTGATTTTTAACAAAAAAAAAACTCGTTTTTATTCTAACTTTAAACAGATAATATAAAAATAAATAGCTTTTACCACGTATATTGTGTAATATATTTGTTTGTTAGTCTAGTACTTTTATTTTTTATTGATTGATTTTTTTATGTGAAAACGATAAGAACCTGTAGATTTTGCACTACGACGTATCGGCGCACACCGCTTTGCTTATCCAACAGTTTTTGGCGAAACATAACACTGTTGTGATGCCGCAACCACCCTATTCTCCAGATATGATCCCTGTGGTTTTTTTCTATTTCTCAAACTCAGAAGGATACTCAAAGGACAAAGTATTTCAACAATAGATGAGATAAAGGCAAAATCGCAAACCGTGCTCAAGACGATACCTAAAGAGGCGTTCCATCAGTGTTTCTCAAACTGGAATCTACGTTGGCATAAGTGTATCATATCACAAGGGGGCTACTTTGAAGGGGATGGGGTAAAAATTGAAGATTAAAATTTAAACGTTCTAAGAAAATCATCAATTCCCGTTAATTTTTTATCAAACCTCGTAATACGATCCTGAAACAAAAAAGTCAAAGAACTTAACCCATAGCAGGTAAACATGTTTCGTCGTTAGCTGGTGGCCCGTTCCGCAAAGTGACGTCACACCACTAGTCTCGCTGTGGGTACCAGACTAGTAAGTCTGGTTAGTTTTCGTGTTCTTATTTTCTATTTATTTAAAAAAAAAATAGTGAATAAACGTATTGAATGCGAAGAAAAAAAAAATCGCAGACCAAAATAAAGGAATTTTTATGGAAGTCGAAGTTGTATTATTTATATTTATAAAATTATTCAACACAAAAAAATAAATATGTTCATAAAACTTCATTTATCTATGAAATTTAAAGATAATAAATTAACCAACTTTGTACCTCTTACCGATTCTGCAATCCTCATGACAGACATCGTTAATTGATTCAGACTGTACATAAAAACAGCAAATTGAAGACTTAACTGGGAAAGTTTTCAAATTTTAAATATGGATGTACCTAACGGCAACGTTAAGACAAACTTTCAGGACTCCTCTCGCCAAAACAAACATTTTTTTCATAAAATAAATCCTAAGAGTTTTATAATCCATCAAATATTGGACATAAAACATATTTCTTGATTGATTCAAGAACTGTTAAGGATATCATGTACAGATTTCAAGCTGGGTAGGGTGCAGTTCCCACTTAGTAGCTACATGAAAGTAAAGAATGAACAAAATCTAACCAGTATGGTAGACTGACTTAAACCAGCACAAGATTTGGATAGACAATTTCCAGTGAAAATTTTATTGGGTCAAGAAAATGTTTTAAAACATTGTTAGCGACAGAATTTAGGAGAAGATCAGTATAATTTAAAGTTTTACGCACCTACATTTTATTGTTGAGATATTAGGGCAAAATAATTATCCTTAATCTATATACGTTGCTGATGAGCGTGTATCATTAATTTGAACAATTGATTTTTGGAAAAAACTCAAGAGGCACAATAGTATGTTTCAATAGGAGTCTGGAAATAAGGATTTTCCGTGCGCGTGTGACAAATTTTTTATTATACTTCTTTGAAAACGAAAACATAAAACATAAAAAACATATAAAAGACATACGAAAGAAACTTGAAACATTCTTATATTCATAACAGTTATAAAATTAAATTTTTATTAATACATAACAGTTCCAATTATTAAAGTTTTTAGTATGAATTGTTATTATTAATGGTTATGTTTATTGTGCAATTCGTATTATTATTGCACAGGTTTAGTCCTTTTGGGGCTTCATTTTGTGAAAGGTTAAATAATATGGATTCTTCTATACAGGGTGTGGCGTGTATAATCTATAAAAACTAAACTACAGTTTCCTGATGATATTTGTAATAGAAAACTCTTATACGAAAATTCTATCTTCGCGTTTTTTTTGCAAATTAAAGTTCATTTATTCAACGAAAATGAAGGCCGTGTTATTTATTAAAAACTTTGAAAATATTTTTAAGCAACCCGAGATGCAACCTTATAATTTAAGTCGGTATAATCTAATACTACTCGTAGCAATACTAAAAGGTTAGGTTACATTGTCAAAAAATTTGTGCAGTTAACTGATTTTGTATTTGTATTGAATTCATTATTCACGTAACTATTAAGAATCGTTCATTGACCAATCAGTGTTAAAAAGTGAAATATTCCAGACAAAAGTTTTTATTTTGTAATTCCACGATAGTGACAGTGTAATTTTTATAAACAAGTAAAAAATAAGAATAGCGTGCCGATTACATTAAAAACGAGATCCTTATTTCTTACTTTGCTTAATTTTTTAGTTTGTACACAAACTAGTTCTACAATGAACCGAGAAAACAATGCATTTACTATTTCCGAACGTGTCGATATGGTGTTAGTGTATGGTGCAGCCGGAGAAAATGCGTTCGCGGCGACTAGGTTGTACCGGGAACGATGGCCACAACGTAACCCCCCTTGTGCAAATACAATCCTACAGTGCGTTCAGTGGCTGAGAGATACGGGAAGTGTTATTCCTCGAGAAGAAGCACGTGGTCAGCAAGTGAACCTTAATGTTGAAGATGCAGTGTTGGAAAATTTCGACGAATTACTCGACGACTCGCACAACAAGTAGGAACCTCATCTCGTACCGTACATCGCGTCTTAAGGCGCCAGCTGTTGCACCCCTATTATCTGCAACCAGTTCAACATATTTTACCCCGGATTGTGATCAACGAATGCGTTTTTGCAGATGGTTTTTACGGCAATGTGCCAATCAAGTGGACTTTCCTGCTTAGGTTTGTGTATCACTGTGGTGAAGTGAATTTCCATAACATACACATATGGGCCGATGAAAATACTCACGCGTTTAGGGAAACTCATTTTCAACATCGGTTCTCGGTAAATGTTTGGGCTGGCATAATAGGCGACGTACTTCTTTGAAGGACGACCAACATGTGTTGACTTTTTGGAAAACCGGTTGCCTGAATTATTGGACGATGTGGCATTACAAGTTGGGCACGCATGTTTTATCCTCAAAATGGGGTTCTTCCACATAGTACTCGAGAAGTAACGACACTTTTCAATGAAATCTTTCCACGGCGATGGATTGGACGCTTTGTCGTGGCCACCTTGGTCACCCGATCTAACTCCAATGGACTTGAAGTCATTGGTTTACAATACTCCAATTGCTACGGTGGAACAATTGCTAAACCGTATACTTCAAGTTGCTGACACAATTAGGGGAATACCTGGAAATTGGGAAAATATTCGCCAAAATTGGGTGTGTCGGTGCCATGGCTGTATCCGCGCTAATGGGGATCTCTAGAAATGATGGTTTATTTCATTTTGTTCCATATTTTAATGGAGTTTGTTTAGTGCACGCAGTTGGCAACTACAGATGCTTACGGATGTGGTTTTGTTTGCGAACTCTTGCAGTAACAACAATGTATTTAAGATAGTAATTACTATTAATTATTATAATAAGAAAATATCAGTTTTCTTTTTAAATATCTATTTTTCTTAGTTTGTACTTTTGCATTGAAAAATTCCCCAAAAATTGAGAAGTACCTTTGTGTCTTTCAACGACGATTTGTTTGCCGAAGAACGACTTAGTCCATGCCCGGTATATTTTTTGGGATCTTCTAGTTTTAGGTATTCTGTAACAATTTTCGGAATACCACTTGAGCGTAAGATCTTCCGTTTCGATATGCAAAAAATAATCTTCTGTTGTTCACATTTTTAGGTCGTAGAGCTGCATATTTACGATAAAGTGTGCAAAGTGCAAATGTACATCCTTCATTGGTAATGGTGAAACTTCGTGATATATGAATTTTTCCATCTTGTAAAAACACGACAAGAAAGCGCTCATTATCTACCACATCGTCTAAATTTAGACGTATCAAATCATCTCTTCGATACGCAAGATTCCAAACACTAAAATTGCTTTTGGTAGTAGATATCGTTCATCTGGAGCTTCACATAAAAATTTGGTTATTTGTTCTGCTGTTAGAACTTTGGACTTTTTCGGTATATATGATAGAGCTTGACGCTTCAAGAAAGCAATAGTTTTTGGATATTTGTTGATGTTAATATTTTCTTTTATGGTCAAAAAACTTTTTAGCATTGAGAATCGATTCCATAACGTGGAAGATTTCATAGACTTAGCTTTTCCGACAAAGTAAACTAGAAGAATATCGTCACTTACAGTTTTGATTTTGTTCAGACTTCGCCATTCAGTAAAAAGTTGATATAGGATTTTACTGGTAATAAATTCTCGTTCACTTGTGCCGCTTGCTCTAGGATGTTATCGGGAATTTCGGGATTTTCTTCCGAGTCGGTATAAATTTAATTGACAGAACGCTGATAATACAGTGTTTGGCATGTCTGATGCGTTACTCCCACATTATTTCAAAGGTTATTAGTTTTAAATTAGTCTATGTCAGATAAGGTGGACAAAACGTCAAAAAATATTACAAAAATATATCTAAATATTCAAACATTTATGAATTAAAATACAAAATAGGTACATGTTAAATATCAGATAGTATACAGACTTTCTTAAATTTAGTTNGGGAATACCTGGAATTTGGGAAAATATTAATTATTAAAAGAAAATATCATTTTCTTTTTAAATATCTATTTTTCTTAGTTTGTACTTTTGCATTGAAAAATTCCCCAAAAATTGAGAAGTACTTTTCTGTCTTTCAACGACGATTTGTTTGCCAAAGAACGACTTAGTCCATGCCCGGTATATTTTCTGGGATCTTCTAGTTTTAGGTATTCTGTAACAATTTTCGGAATACCACTTGAGCGAAACACCTTCCTTTTCGATATGCAACAAATAATCTTCTGTTGTTCACATTTTTAGTTCGTAGAGCTGCATATTTACGATAAAGTGTGCAAAGTACAAATGTACATCCTTCATTGGTAATAGTGAAACTTCTTGATGTATGAATTTTTCCATCTTGTAAAAACACGACAAGAAAGCGCTTATTATCTACCACATCGTCTAAATTTAGACGTATCAAATCATCTCTTCGATACGCTAGATTAGATATAATTCATCTTGAGCTTCACATAAAAATTTGGTTATTTGTTCTACTGTTAGAACTTTGGACTTTTTCGGTATATATACTACAGCTTGACGCTTCAAGAAAGCAATAGTTGTTGATGATAATATTTTCTTTTGTGGCCAAAAAACTTTTTAGCATTGAGAATCGACTCCATAACGTGGAAGATTTCATAGACTTAGCTTTTCCGACAAAGTAAACTAGAAGAATATTGTCACTTACAGTTTTGATTCTGTTCTGACTTCGCCATTCAGTAAAAAGTTGATATTGGATGTTATCGGGAATTTCGGGATTTTCTTCCGGGTCGGTATAAATTTAATTGACAGAATAAACAACGCTGATAATACAGTGTTTGGCATGTATGATGCGTTACTCCCACATTATTTCAAAGGTTTCAAACGTCAAAAAATATTACAGAATTATATAGATTCAAACATTTACGAATTAAAATACAAAATAGGTACATGTTAAATATCAGATAGTATACAGACTTCTTAAATTTAGTTTACTTTGCTGTATATTTTATCTTAAAATAGTTTACCCAAATCTCCAAAAGGAGATTCTCTTGAATACTATTAGACACCTAATACCGACTGCACTGATTAGTTTATGTTCTATTTAAATAAACAGCTTTCGTAGTTTATAACCTTGGTGGTTTTTCTCCTCGAAATAAAAAAAAAATTGCAGGAGCTAGAAGGGTTGTTGTTTTCAAAGGTAATTATTGCTGGCCTTTCTGTACTTACCTCTAAAATGAAGTAGAGTAGCAATAATAAGAATATTGGTGATAATAATGGCCAGAGCCATAATGAAGATGATTCCAGCTTGGGCGAGGGATTCCAAAGTAAACACCATCTCCGTGCCATTTTGGATGCCACTGAAGCTAGTCATAGTAGGTGTGTCTTTTTCTGGTAACATCGCGGGTCGCGAGGAACCGTTATAGGGCCCCAGTAGGGCTTAGACTTTTGGCATCTTCTGAAGGCACCACGCTGCGAAGGTCAAATAAAATTAATTGTGAATTGGTAACAGTGTTTAAATTTAGTGCAAAATTGTTCAAAGTTTTCGTGATTACGACTTGTGCAGGGTCGCCCTTAATTTGACTGTCGATTTTCTACAAGGCCAAAATTAACATAAAACGTTCTATTGAACTGAGAGTTACTTTCGACATTTACAAAGATATTTCATATCTTCTACATCAGTTGAAGTGCACAGTATTAAATTACGAGTACTTGAAAAAATATTGTTCTTGAAATATTTTGCTAAATCGTGTAACAATTTTCCGAGAATGAGACTTTAAATAAAGTCGTGGTGTTCAGTTCAAGTACAAGTACAAATTTGTAGACACTAAGGATGACTATTTTAAACGTCTTTATTGATTAGTTTATACAAGAAGACAAATGGGCCAAAAAGTGAAAGATACGAAAAAGGCAATATTGATAAAAGTTTTTGCTTATTTAGAAAACACAAATCACCATGACGAACTTCAATTTTGTTGTACAGAGTAGGGCAAAAACACAAAAATGTTATTTTGTGTAAGAGTAAACATACCTTACTTTGCAGGATACGAAAAAAAAGGCATTCTTGATAAAAGTTTTTTCTGAATGAATAAGCATGACGTTATCAAAAATTTAATTAAGTATTCTCTAGCACACCTCTAATTAGAGTACCACTAATTCCTAAAATAGTAATGACACTTAAGAACATACTTGTCATTGTCTTTATTTAATGATTAAGGTAATTAGTTAATGTAAAATAATTCTCATCAAAACACTATCTACTGAGCAAAGTGTTTTTATAATAAAATGTTATGGGGATGGTCATGTATCATATCATTACGTCATGGAACAATTTAGCGAACAATTTGTAGGAATCTCAATAAGTCGGATGGCAATTTTGCAAGATAATAAAAAAGTTTCAAACAACAGGTTCAGTTTTAAACGTCAAAAAGAAAAAGAAGAAATATGACCATAACGATGCTGCTACAGTTATAGTTCTGTAGTCTGTTAGAGAAACTCTTAGATGTCCCTCAGAAATTGTGCTAAACAGTTACAAGTTGTGAAAAAAAAGTAATATTCAGAAGATTTTAAAAGAAAATAAAATATTTTCGTTCAAGCCACACTTTACTCAAACATTGGAAGAAGGAGATGAAGCGAGAAGACTAGATTTTTGTTTGTGGGTAGGAGACAAAATTTTAAATGGAATATTGATTTTTATGTTAATGTTTATTATGTTTTCTGATGAATGTATATTTTCTACGAATGGAACTGTAGCATCCAGCACGTCAGGTACTGGTCTCTAGAAAACCTGAAATTAGAACAATGACACGAAGACAATATTTTACAAAAGTGAATGTGTGTGAACAGAATGGCTTAACCATAGAATTGTTCCAAGATGTATTGGTAGAAATGATCCAATTTTGTGGCCCTCAAGGAACCCTGACAAATAATATTGAAATGCTAAAAGGCAGAATTACCTAGGCTGTCCATTCAATATCCCAGGAAGAAATAAGAAATTCCTTCAGATATCTAAGGAAGCAATTAGAAAAATGTATTCAATATGGGGGTGGTGTTTTTGAAATTTGATATTTTCATCATATTGTTTTGTTTATTTTTTTTTTTACTTAATTGCTGTTGTAATTATGTTCGTATTATTTAAAAATTACTTGAATAAGACGTATTTTAGATTTGTAACTTTGATCCATGTATAAAAATTTAATTTTTGATAACGTGACTGTTATTCATTTTTCAAGCAAATACTTTTATCAAGACTGCCTTTTTTTCATCTTTCACTTTTTCGTCCATTTGTCCTTTTGTAAATTCGGTCCGCGGACATACTGTATATTCATTAGTATACAGGGTGTTTCTAAAATAGGGTTCCAAACTTCTGCTGCGTTTATAACTCATTAAAATAAGCCAAATAGTTCATATTAACATGTGCCCTAAAACGCACCCTTAGGAAGTTATATGCCCTTAAAAGGGCTCAAACAAAACTGTTTTTTTTTCTGTTATTGACAAAACGGTTGCAAATAAATAGAAAAAAATGTATAGGTCTTACATAACTTTTTATGTTAAATAACATGGGCTACTCCGTTTTTTGACATACAAATCATATGCGTCCCATTTAGGTTGGTGAAGGGGGTTTTCGGCCCGTAATTTTTTTTATTTCAATTTTTTTACAATTTTTTCTACAGATTTATAAAATCTTAATAATTTTACGTAAAAAATGTTATCTTTGTCCAAATCGATATTTCCAATGGTTTTCGAGTAAATTGAGTTTGAAAATTCAGTAACATTATTTAAATAAATTGCAGTTATGAAGGATCCGATCATTTAGTAAATAATTTAGGACATAAACTAAGACTATTTAAATTTATAGTTACACTTACTAATTAAAGAACTAATTACTACTGCAGACAATAGCTAAATCTGAAATAGAAAATAATAAGATTAAAATTAGTAATAATAAGTTAAATTACAAGAACTGCTGCCTTCAGTTGACCACACAAAAAATAGTCCAGGGGGTTAAGGTCAGGGGAACGTGGAGGCCAGGGAACAGGACCTCCTCGACCTATCCATTTTTCTCCATACAACTCATTTAAGTGTTGTCTTACCTTATGTAGGTAATGAGGTAGCGCCCCGTCCTGCATAAACCATATGCTTTGGCATTCAATTAAAGGGACATCTTCCAAAAGTCCTGGCAAGTCGTTAACTAAAAAATTGTAATAATCCTCACCATTCAATTGATTAGGCAACACAAACGGTCCGATTAGCCGATCGCCTAAAATGCCTGCCCAAACGTTGACGGAAAACCGAATCTGATGTCTGGACTGAAATATGCTGTGTGGGTTTTCATCAGCCCATTCATGAGCGTTATGAAAATTGACATAACCATCTTTACTGAAGCTTGCCTCATCCGTAAACAAAATAAGAGATGCAAAATTCGGAATCCGCCTCGATTTTCGCAAAAACCATTGGCAGAACTGCCGACGTGGTTCGTAGTCATTCGGATTTAAAGCTTGAACACGCTGGATATGAAAAGGATGAAGTAGTTGTTCGCAAAGAATTCGCCAAACTACGGAAAAACTTATGTTATGCATACGTGCGACACTTCTTACACTAACCCTTGGATTGTCCTGCACAGCTCTCAATACATTTTCTTCCATCACCGGTGTTCTTACAAATCTGTCTCTGCCACGATCATTTACTCTTGGTTGGAACGAACCATTTTCTCTTAAACGTTGATGGATCCTCTGAAATACCTGTCGAGAAGGAAGTCTTCTATTCGGGTATGCTGCCGCATACAGACGCCTCGCTTCTGATGCATTTCCAGCCGCACGGCCGTACATAAAGTGCATATCTGCCATTTCCGTGTTTGAATATGACTCCATTTTATGAGTTGCAATAATGTTGTATACTTAAATTTTCCACTCACCACTTTTACTAATTAAACACTGCAAAGCTCAATTGACAGTTTATCAATAACTTAAATTGTTAAGCGTTGTGGCAACGTCAGTCTTTTATTTGCCATGGTAAACAGATTTTTGTAATTTTTGGCCTAATAACTTAAAGAGCAGAGTAATTTTCAAACTCAATTTACTCGAAAACCATTGGAAATATCGATTTGGACAAAGATAATATTTTTTACGTAAAATTGTTAAGATTTTATAAATCTGTAGAGAAAATTGTAAAAAAATTGAAATAAAAAAAATTACGGGCCGAAAACCCCCTTCACCAACCTAAATGGGACGCATATGATTTGCATGTCGAAAAACGGAGTAGCCCATGTTATTTAACGTAAAAAGTTATGTAAGACCCATAAATTTTTTTCTATTTATTTGCGACCGTTTTGTCAATAACAGAAAAAAAAAAAGTTTTGTTTGAGCCCTTTTAAGGGCATATAACTTCCTAAGGGTGCGTTTTAGGGCACATGTTAATAGGAACTTTTTGGCTTATTTTAATGAGTTATAAACGCAGCAGAAGTTTGGAACCCTATTTTAGAAACACCCTGTATACATATTACATGTTTAATATTTTTAATAATATGTATAGGTAGTGAAAAAGTTTCTTCGTTTTTTGTATAGTAGAGTTTGGTGTCAAATACAAATACACATAAAAACAAATACTGTACTCAGTGAATTTTGTTTGAATATACATCTTTTGAGAATCAAAACTGATCATACAGGGTGTTTCATAACTTTACCGACACAGAGCAAGCACGTGTAGTGGATCTTAAAATATGCCGATTTGTATGTAACATTTTTTCTGAGATGTAAAAATAAGAAAATATAAAATAAAACAAATATAAATAGCTTTCACTCCGTGGCTTATTTTGATTATTCGTTGTCAGTCGCTTGTTATTTGATAATATTTCAATTTATTTTTATTTTTAAGTCTGCACGGTAAAGTAATAAGTCTGTTGGAATTATTAAAATCTGTCGTAATTCGATTTCTAACGTATATAACGTTAGTAGGTAACTTTTAGCAGACTACAAAAAAACACTATTAAATATTTTGTTACTTTCTTGTATCTATTTTGTTACACTAAAATGAATTTTGTATTTTAAATCGTTTTCGAGAAAATCGCAAACTACTTACTTAATTAGTTAGCAGTTCAGGCAATTTCTCAGCATCTAATTCACATACGACAATTATAATGGCTTCAGAACTTGTTACATTGATAGTATTTTCAGAATCCATAGTCATATTTTCGATTTGGATGCCTCCGTGACGTTACCCAAAGAGGCCGCCAAGGGTAGATGTCTCTGAGACCTCTATGAATGTTGTTAGCTGCTAAGGCAGATAGTCTACAACCTAATTTGTTATCCAATATACACGATGTTGCACTTCACTTACTGTTATTTCAAGTAGGGTTTCAACAAATCCTGCATGAGTTCATGTTTTAGGGTTTCAACTGACCTT